AATATTTATAAAGTTATAGCAAAAAATGCAAGGCAAAAAAATAAGTTGTTTATAAAAATGTCCATATCTCCATAAATATTTACTCTAGGTTAATAAAACTTTATGCAGTTATTAAAAATAACAACTTAAGTAATTGATACAAGTTACAAGTTTATCACTTGATTTTCAGGCATAGGGTGTTCAAAAATACTTGTTTTCTTTCGTAATTTATTGTCGGTCTCCAAAACTTCTGAAAGCCTTAAATCTTATTGCTAAGTATGTATTAAAAATCGAATAAACTAAACATCTCTAAATAACCCTTTGAGTAGTTCTTGAGAAATTTAAAAAATATGTCAAAAACTCAAAATCTCTCCCATTATTGTAGATAAGTGTATTACTTGTAGGTAAGCAAGAAACAAATTATTGGACTAGAGATATGATGTAAGCTATTACCTAAATTGTAATTGTAAATCTAATTATTCACATAACCGGTGAGGCAAATCTTCTAAATATTTAAAACTTAGAAAACTGATACATCTATTTAACTTTCAATTTGAGCAAATAACCATTAATTAAAAATTAAAATCATATTTACAAATTAAATTATTGTATTACCTCATAACTTTATTACAGTTGCATTTATGAACAGAAAATAACTAAATAACCAAAATTAAGGATTTTTGTAAAAAAAGAATTTAATTAAAAAAAATTTTCTTTCTCTTTTTTTTACAAAGCAATAATTGGAACATTGGAAAATGTATAGTAGTAGTAAGGGTATGGTAAAATAAGGAATTATCTCATTAATCTTTTGTCATTTACTTTTATAAAACTAGATAAAGAAAAAAAAAATTTAATTATTTCACTTTGCATGTACCTATTTAAGATCAAAATTTTCCAAAATATAATAATTTGAAATGAATTAAAAGCATACAAAATAATTTTGCATGACATAAATTTTCAAAAATCTGAAGAAAACCAAAAATGAATATCAATGATTTATTAATTAGAAATTAAGATTGTTATTATCAAGTCAGACCAGACCCAGACCACTGACAATATATAAATACACAAATGCTTTATTTTGGCCAATAGTTAGGTTAATTTGTAAATCAATATATGATAAACATTAAAAAAAATGTCTATGGCAGAAGCAAGCTTGTTAATGGTTCAAACAGAAAATCAGGAGAAAATACAAAAAAAAGCTAGACAAAATTAAGATAATTTTAGTACAAAATATTCTTTAAAAAAATAGAGCAAGACGAAAAATTAACTTAGTTATAATGTTATAACCTTATAATTAATAGTCTTCTTAGGGAAACATGTTTTTTCTCAACTTTACCAAAATTGATAAACTAAACTTTTATTCCGAAAATTTAATTAACTTTTTTTATTAGTTTCAATCATATTTTAACAGTAGAGTACTGAAAATCTCACATTATTTCGCGGTCATCAAACGTAATTTTTTTTTTATTTAACTTGACAAGAATGCTTTAAATTATTTAATTTCATATAGTTTCAACATCTGCATACTTAAAAATAAATTTGCAGAGAAGATTAACAAAAAAAAAATACCTTTCACTATTCATTATTTTAGATCATAACATAGGTACATCTTAAGTGCAAATAAATTTATTGCCACAAATATATTACAATATTGGATAGTGAAAAAAAAAATAATAAATAACTAGTCGTATAACAGGGTGCATAGCCAAATCTCTCAGCAAAAAATAAGCACATTTTAAGTACTTTTTAAACACTCAAAAAATATTTTTAAGCAATATATATATTAACAGAATGCATAATAATTTTCAAAGACTTTGTATGATCATGATAAAATAACTAGTGAGTTGCACATGAGAGTGCAATTATTTTCCAGCACCCAGCTCAGTAGACGCACAAGTGAACTCGCAAGTTTTCACCAAACATGCAAAATAATTGGCGCTTTCATACGCTATGGACCTACGGAATGCTGAAATAGATTGTTGAATGAATTGCAAAAATGTTGAATAGAACAATGTGAAAAGCACGCTGTAGCATAATACATGGCGTAAATCAAATGGTAAAGAAAAAAAACATTTTCGAAAAGGGAAAAATAAACACTTTTAAAAACACCCCAGGAAAAAGCACCTTTAAGGGCTTTTTAAAAACGCTAAGCACCATGTATAAGCAATTACACATATTTCATGATAAATTTTATTGGTTTTCCTCGTCGCTGTATTCTCATCCACAAACTACATTTCAACTCGCATTAAAACTCAAACAAGTTAATAGCTAACCACAAATTGCAAAGACGTAATAAGTTCCTGCGAGATGCAAGAAAAAAATTAAATGAAGTGCAATGGTTTTTGACTTCTCTGAATGTAGATTAACTATATAGACTGCATGATAGATTTATGCTATGATCAACAAAAGTAAAGGTGCATTCTTTTGAAGTAAGCAGCAAAATTTCAAAAAACAGCTGAACTTCCTTTTGGAAATAAGACAACTTAGCTGGCGATGGCCTACACATGTTTGCAAAATAAACATTTTAGATTAAGATCGTACGAACAAAACAAAATGTTTGTTTTTCACTTTTCTATATTGATACATGAAATTAAAAAAAAAATTTCTTTTATTTATTTCTTTTTGGAGAAATATTGCTCATTTAAACCACTTGTTACAAACATACCCTGTGGCAGAATTTTTTCGAGCAATCTGCGAAAAAACTCTCTAGCACTGATATCTTTCTGTAAGAAACTTTTAAGAATAACACACATATATTTTACAAATTTTAAATAACAAAAGTAGTGTGTTAAAAAAAATATATATATAATTTTTTAAATTAAACATGTAATAGTTTTTTTATTCTAATATAATGGGTGATATTCTCGCATTTAGTGGGGGGAAAAGGAGCAAATTATTTCCTTCTCATTTTGTAAATAATCATCCCAATAAAAAAATTAAAAATCATGAAATTCGCAATAGTAATTGCCGAAAAAAAGATCAGCGCTGAAATCACGCTCCTCATAAAGGGGTTTCACAAATTAGTGTTTCGCTTCGAGATTAGGTTGTTGTAATAAATAATATCGTATAAAAAATTTGCGGATTTAAAAAAAATGGAGAAATCGATAGCAAAAGCTGCCAAAAAATTTATAGAATCATTGTCTTAAAATAAATACCCAAATGCACCATTCGAATTTTTCCTATTCATTAAAATGTATCGGGATATTTAAAAACCATGTGAAAATCAATATCAATAACTGCCGAAAATATGATCGAAACATAACATCAATTTTAAGATATTATCGGCATAAATTGAGAGTGCCAAAAATTTATTATCTGCATGCATGATACAAATTTTACGTGTAAATTTCTATAGAAAGAGAGCACTAAAATATTTTACTCTTCTAAAGAAAAATCTTTCTATGAGAACTCTGTAGCGTTCTGCGACAATGTCGCTGTGATTCTGCAATGGGACAAACATGTAGATAATATCGAAGCAAATTGAGAGAGCCAAAAAGTGATGAAAGCATGATACAAATTTTACGTGTAAATTTCAGTAGAAAAGAAAACTAAAATTTTTTACTTTTCAAAAGAAAAATATTTCTGTAAGATCTGTAGTATTCTGCGACAATGTTGCTGTGATTCTGCAACGGAACGAACAGATAGTTTTTGTACATTTAAGATTAGCCCATTTATTTAATATTAGCAGTGGATTCAATATTTTTATATTGAGTATTAAAGGAGTCATAATAATGCTCAATAACAGGAAAAAAATTAAGCAAAAAAGGCCAAATTGGGGCAAAATATTTTTTATTACGAATATGAAGAAATGCTCAATAGCAAAATTTTCTAGAAAATTAGCTCTTAAAATGATTATATATTCTGCTATGTTTAGTATGCCATTATTTTAACAATGTTCCAAATTTTTTTTCGAATACTACTTTAATGAAATTTTTTACAGGGTGCGTAGCCAAATCTTTCAACAAAAAATTAGCACCTTTTAAGTACTTCTAAGCACGCTTAAATATATTTTTAAGCACTATATACATCAACAAAATGCAAAATAATTTTCCAAGACTTTAGATGATCATGATAAAAAACACCTAGTTTCTGACAAAGAGCTATTTTCTTGATTATATTACCTGTTATAAAAAGATCGAGAGATTTTTCAGTTCGATTCCAGTGGGTGGAAAATGAAGCCTGAAATTGAGAATATCTTGCAAAATGCAGATGAGAGTGCTAGAATTTCACCGAATCCATCAGTAGACGTACATGCAGACTTGCAAGTACTTTCTCAAACACGTAAAATGATTGGCGCTTTCACACGCTATGGGCTGACAGTAGGCCGAAATGGATTGTGGTCGAATGAATTGTGAAAACATTGAAAAGAACAATGTGAAAAGTACGCTTTTGCATAATGCGTGGCAAAAATCGACATGGTAAAGAAAAAAATCTCACTTTCGGAAAGGGAAAATTAAGCACTTTTTAAAAACACCTAATCAAAAAAGCATCTTTAATGGCTTTTAAAAAACTAAAATTGAAAATAAGTACCTTTGAGCATTTTTGAAAAACGTTAAGCACCATGTTTTAAGATGTCTTCAGAAATAGCAGAAAAAATAAAAAATTTCTCATTTCAAGATGAAGATGGAAAAAAATTTAATATAGAAGGTAAAAACCATGGCAATAACAGGTTTTTTTCAGGACGGTAAAAACTATACTAAATACCAGTAAAACCCTCATATACCGTGTCAACCCTGTTTATATGCTAAAGGAAAAATTTGTAGCATAATTTCTCACTACTAAACATAACTCAATTACCATGTTCAAGCATAAAATTTGCTATTATTGATAAAAGAAAAGCATTTCAAAAAATTTGTACACTTTGATATTACTTGTAAAGTAATCAATTGCATTTTTATCAAATAGAGGAAATACGAAATAAAATGATGATATATGGAGATTCTTTTTGATCACATAGAAAAAGAATAAAATTATTATTTATCAACACAGAGGGAAGAAAAGAGAATAAAATGACTCACACATCTTGAAGGATGCAAGCAATGATGAAGAATCTAAGGCATGATGAAAAGAAAAGACAGATTGACCCAGAAGCTCTGAACTTTTGTATCCTAGATATTCTGACAGTCTGAAAAAATAAAAAATGCTTTAGAATCACATAGCAGATTTCAGAGAAAGTCAAGAGAAAAGATAATCTTGATTTTTTTTTTTGTAACAAAAAATATTTTTATTTTATAACTTCATTTTTAAACAAACGCAAATGATATAAAATTATAATCTTACAAAAAAAACTTAGCTCTTTTTGACTTAAATTCAATAAAATAGCTCATTACTCAAAATATAACAATCAGTATAAACATTTTACCCTCAAGAAAAACTATACAGTTTGTTTAAAATAAGAACTCCAGACATTCGTCTTGACCTGTGGCGGTGACTATGGTAACGAGGTATGACTATTTCAAGTAGGGGTGCGGGGTCACTATTTTGGACTGGTCTCAGCTTGGGTCAACGAGAGAAAGGGGATCTCCTTCTTCGGTCTATTGTGTTAGTTCTAGAAAGAAACCCTCCCTAAAATGCTCCATTCTTGTTTCCACAGCACCGGACAGCCTCAGACTTTGTGGCGGGAGGAGTTCTTAGCTTAGACAAACTATAGTGTTTCATTTGTTTTTGTAACCACTTTAAAAGACAGAACAAAAGAGTAACTTTTTATTTGCATGAATGACTTCAATAAAATAAAAAATTTTAGTATTTCTTCATACCTCAAGAATTTTTTAGTGAATAAAATAATTTTTGAATTGCATAATTAAAAATTTCTTTAATTCAATTGAATGTAAATAATCACTCGTAATAATTATTTATTATTTCATTTAACAATAGTCGAAAAATGTTGAATTGTGAGGCATACGAATTTTTGAATTTTAAAGTAACCAACTTTAAATTATAAGATTTTAATGTAATCAGTCGTTTAGTTCACATGAAATGTGCAATTTCAAAAACACAACTTTTATTTTACAAAGTTTTTATTTTTTTTAAAAAAATAATGAATATTTTTTTAAAAATATTCTAAATATTTATTCATTGCTTCATATAAAAAAAATAAAAATTAATTAAGAACTTTATTATTGTATGCAAAAAATTTTAAAATTTTTAAAAAGGTTTTCAAGGTATCAAAATTGGGCAAAAAGTGATATTAAAATTCAACATCCCAAATTTTAAAAAGCTTATCTGACTAAATAATTTGAACAATATTTCTTAGATTCTACCATTTTCTAGCTCAAGAAACCAAATCTGTTAAAAATAATAAATAAATAAAACTCAAGAGAAAAAGCACATTTTTGTAACTTAATTGATTACTTTGCTCTTTTGTAACTTAAAATATTGTTCGCAGAAATAAATTTGCAAATTTAATGTTAGCCTTACGAAAAACTAAAATTAAGTTTCAGTATGTAAAAATCTTTAGCTATTTAAACATTTTTAATCAAAAGTTATTGAGAAGGCCTCTTTCAGTACATAAAATTTTTAGTTGCACAGTTAAATTCAGACCTGCCAGCTTCTACAAGATAAAAATATTTTACCTAAATACTTCAAGTGGTATAATTTCTGCTTTAAAATTTTTACCACAAAATATAGAAAGAGATTTTTACCACTAGATATATGTAAAATGTGGGAAAAGCTAGCAATATTGTCTTTGATAACAAAATCTAAAAATCTTTTGCTTACTCAATTATAATTTAACTATCACTTTAATGATGAGAGCTAGAACTTCTGGGTTGGCAGTTCTTCAGATTAAATAAAAACCTTTTTATGGATCAATTTTTAAAAATTTATTTTAACATTTTACAGAATTAGATTTGAGAAAACATTACATTGGAAAGTTACGTATCAATGGTTTATTCCATAGATTAGAATAAGGCATTGCAAATTTAGCAGAATATAAGCTCTTTAATTTTTATTATTTAAACCATTTTCACCTTTTTAGATTTTTTAAAACTTCTAATAGCCCAGATTCAGATTTCTCAAATTATTCTAAGATTTCTAATTAATTATTTTAAAACTTTGAACTTGAACCGAATCAGTTAAATAGTTCCTGAGAAATTTAAATATCGGACTTAAAATTCTGATTTCTGAAGAACTTTTAAACTGAATTCGTTTGTCCTGTAAAATTTATTATTTTAAAATAACGTAAAATGTTTGTATATCTTACAATTCAAAATTTTTTTTACCATTATTAAATAAAATACAAAATGATAAATAATAATTAAAAATTATTTTTTACACATAATTATCTTTGGAGAAACTGATTTTATAATTGTGACTGAAAATTTTTCAATTTGCTTCAAAAACTCTGGAGGTTTGGTGAAAAGTAAAATTAATATTAAAACTCCAAACTTCTGACCGCTCACCTGACTTAACTATTAGGATTATATTTTCCAAATTGCAACATATTTGCTAACTATAACCCATACGAGACTTTCTTTATAGATGATTACCGAAAATTGATCAGAAAATAAAGCACTTATGACTTAGTCAAAAGAAAGTAGATAAAATAAGGGCTGATTGATTGATTGAATGTTAAGTTTTATGGCACTAGATCCAAAAGAGGATATGTTGTGCCAAACAATTTGTTGAATCAAATGGTAAATTGCACACTAATATAGCATCTTCATAAAGTAAATGAATCTATATCACAAGACAATCACAAGATTTTAATCACAAGACACATATATTTAAAAGTTAATAAAATTTGATAAAAGGCATAATTACTAGGCACAATTAAAAATGTATAACGGTAAATGGGTAAGAAATAAGAGTGAATAAAATCAGATAAAAAACAGGTATATACAATATGAAATACCAATTGCTCGCAGAAATGCGAAAATGTTAGGATGATGGACTTCCCCTAACAAATCCTTCACACATAAAATAGTGCTGCTAAAAAAGGTAAGGTGATTAAAACAAGGACAAATGGTTAAAATGTGATGAGCTGTAGAGACAAAATAGGGGAGTTTTGTGAGGGGCAAAAGAAAATAACCAAAAATAATTTTTTATTTTATTTCCTGCATTTTACATTTTAAAAATACATACAATTTTTTATGATTCAAAAGGAAGATTGTAAAATTATGCTTGAAAATATTTGATATATTTTTTTAGAAATTTACAAAAATCAATTACAAATTTTTGATGTCCCAAAAAGATTTGGGTGAAAAGATTTCAAATGTTTGATTGAAATCGCTGAAAAAAAGTTGAAAATCTTATATACAGAATAGAACTGAGAAAACTGTTTTTTAAAAAGATTTTCCTCCAATATTTTTTTCTTTTTTTTAAAGAAATGGCTAACTCTCAGAAAATAACAAAAACACCCATCAGAGAAATAAAATTTTAACGACTTAATACATATGAATATAAACATATGGATCTAAATTGGAAATACTTACATTTACAAAAATACATGATTAGAAAAAGTACTAGCAGTTTTGAAAGTCATCATTACAGATTTTAATTTAATTAGGTAATAATAATAAAGTTTCAGTTCCATTGTGATTTATTGCACAATAGAGAAAAGATTGTTTGAATAAATGGGCAGGATTGATAAAATCTTAACTTTTCCAACCCTGAAGAACCTTAGTTTGAATTTCAATAAAATAAAGAGCTTCCTCAACTATCAATGCATAAATACACAAGTGGGCGACCTTTGTGCTAAAATACAAACTAAGGTAAACAATGTAGGTGAGGTCTAAGGTAATGGTGTTGTTAATGTAGGTCTAAGGTAAAGGTGTTTACCTTAGTTTCTATCAATGCATAAGTTACATACTGGTGTAATTTTGTTGAAAATTTTAATACTGTTGGTCATTTTTTATTGCACAAAATTCTGAGCTGCTAAAAAGTTTTGTAGAAACAAATTTAAATAGCATAATTATTAATATGATGCTTTCATAAAATCCCAATACTTCTTAATAATAAATATTTTATATTCTGTTTTCTAATTTATATTCCCTTTTTATTATTGAAAAGGCTGAATTCGTTTGCTTAATACAGAAAAAAGTAATTAAGAAAAAATATAAATTTTTATCTATTTACTTACAATTAAATTGATGATGGTTAAGGATAACATAATTCACTATTCCGAGACTCTGAATAGTTTACTAAAACCAAGCATTTTAAATTCAAGATCGAAAATCTGATTATTGAATTGTACGATTTTTAAAAAAAATTTTTAACTTAATATGTGACAGTTAAAACAAAACTACAAATAATATATTTTAAAGATTTACATGGTTTGTACATGTGGTTTATAAATATGGTTTTTACAACCAATGATTCTTATTTTGAAATTTGATTAGTAATTATAAAATTTGCAATCAAAATGCATTTTTATCTTCTACACTAACAGCTTAGGTCTACAAATTTGTTGCAAGTAAATTTAATTCATCACATTGGGAAAAAAAGAGAGCCAAGTACAAATAATTACATGACTAATAGATCAATAAAATGTATGAGAAAAATGCAAATCCATTTTAAAGTAAATAGTTATTAAAAATATAAAGTAATTAGGGAGAGTATTAAAATAACAAAAAACATTCTAAGTAACACAAAACATTCAGATAATATATATATAAAAGAATGTCTGTGTGTGGGTGTATTCTTTATAGACTCCTAAACCATCCATCCAAAATTGCTGATTCTTGGCATACAGATAGTTAGAAGCACGAGGAAGATCATTAGAACATTCTAGGACAAACAGTTCAAATGGAATAAGCAAAAAACGATAAGGAATTTTCTGATAAGTTAAGCTTTAGTCATTGTTTTAAATTTAACTATAGACAATTCAGTTTCTGACATATTTTAAGAACAACATCAGTGATAATTTCTAGCTTACAACTCTATTGGATAAATAAAATAGTTCATTGCACGCATTTAAATTATTTTACATTCGCTATGTCACATAAGTTCAATGAACAACATTATGTGATAACACACAAGGTTTACGTCACCATATTTATACTTTTAAAGTTATCTGATACCACACATTTCTTATTTATATTTCTTTTGAAACGTTTTTCTAAAAAACTATTTATTTAAAAACAACGGTATTTGAATAGAAAAAAGTATTTATGTGTTTAAAAGCAAAACTAATGAGAATGTTGCATTTATGTGTTTAGGTGAAATGTAAAAAATCGCAACATTATTATTGACGACAATGATACTTAATTAATTTAGGTAATATATATGCATATTGAAATAAAAGAAATAAGCTGTGTACTTGAAAGCAAAATTAATGGAGTTAAGATACTAGAAGAACCATAAGAAATAGTAATACTATCAATGACGGCAATGATTAATTAATGTTGGTAATATATTAATTGACATAAAAACTTATGTACTAAATAGCAAAAATAATGGAGAAAAGATATTTATTCATTTTGTGAAGCAATAAAAAATTGCCATATTATCACTCACACTAATGCTTCATTAATATTGAGGTTGAGGGAGTTAAAGGAGAGAAGGTTAATAAAAACTTTGTCTAGGAAAACCGTAGAAAATCGCCATTCACGGATGATGCTTAATTATTGTGTACTATTGACAGCAATGTATACAACTGGTATTATATTAATTGGTGCAGTTTTAGTAAGAATTCTACAATGGGTTTTCCACAGATTCAGAAAATATTTTTCCAGTGGCAGCAAAGATAGTTTATTAACATTTTAATGAATGAGAACTAAAAGAAATTCCGTGTGCAGAATTCCGTGATATTCCCAGAACAATCCTTTGTCAGGCTCCAAATTTTTGGACCTGGGAGGATGATATGAAAACCCCGGTATTCCAGAGTACACCCAGAACACAATCACCCCTCTATCATTTATATAATAAAGTCCTTATTCGGGTGAAGCCTAGATCCTCATCTTTCTATGAAATATTTCATTAGAAAGCAAAACACGTTCAAAAGAGTTTACCTAATATGATCTGAGAAATAGCTTTAGCATAAAAAAAATAATTTCTCCAAAATTTTAGGTCTGAAAGTTTCCATTCCAATGGTTATTTCTTCATTTTCCTGTTTCAAAAGTTATTAATAAATTGCTTTTTAGATCTAAAGAAATCAATTAAATAAAATGAAAAAAATTCTGAGTTTAAATTAAGTAAAATTTAAGTGGTTATTTCTTCATTTTTCAGTTTAACAAGTTATTAATAAATTGTTTTTTAGATCTAAAGAAATAAATTAAATTAAATTTTAAAAAATTCTGAACTTAAATTATGTAAAATTTCATAATAAAAAATTTTATAGTAGGAGATTAGTATAGCATATTTTTATAAACAGCAGCTCCATTTATCAGATTAACATTTCAATCTTTAAAGCAAACCAAACTCAATAAATTTGTTTCAAATTTGATTCAAGATAAACATATAGAATAAAAGTAAGATTTCATACTATTAAAAAAGACATATTTTTAAAATAACTCATGACAATTAACATACTTCTCATCAATGTGCGTAAACTTCATATCCAGACTGTGACGACTGATGAAGATTTGTTTATCTAAAGGAACATCTATTTGAGATGGATGCGGAATTGTTTTTCCAATAAACATCAGATAAAAAGCAGGACAGGCTGGCGTGCTACTAGGCTTATCAAATTTGTGCCCCATATAATGTATCACCTGAAAAAGAAAATCTAATCAGTTCATAAAATACAAATACTATTTTTGAATAAAAAGAGTTTACTCAAAATGGTTCATATTTAAGTAATAATGAATCAACTAGAGACAAAGTTGTGGCTTCAAATGACACTTAGAAAAGCAAAGCTGGCCTTTTGCGAATTAAGTCAGGAAGATTCATTTGACAAGAGAGCATTGAAAGGGGGGAAATACATCCTGTCTTAGCTGAGAAAAACACAGACAGATGAAAGCACAACTCATTTGTGAAGCCACATCCTCAATTTAGACATAGATCTCAAGAGAAAGGAAATTTTCTCTGTATCCAAGATGATGCTCAGGACTTCGGATTGCACAAATTTTACATATATATCACATGTACTCTGTGGGTTTCAGAGGAGTCGAGGATCGAACCCCGGCTCCTCTGCACCGGAATCCGATTATCTAACAACAATATAGTCCAGCTATCATGACTCTGAAGAGAAAGTAGAGTGGAGCATCGTTTATATGATGATTCTTCATATGATGTTTGCAATTATACAACGTTTTAGCGTGCTCCCAATTCATTCCTATTCGTTTTAATGTAGAAATATATTGTTTATACAATGCATAGAATCAGTTACATGTTGGTTTACTGATTTAGTACACTTTTATTTTATGTTTTGTGTATTTTAAGAACGGGCAAAAATTGCTAACAAAGAAGGAGCGAGTGTGAATGCAGCATGTGATAACAATGATATATGCAGCATGTGATACACATTCATGTTAACTGCTTCACCTTTAAAACAATGATAATTTTTTATTATTGATCCAGGATTTTCCATTATTGTTCTTATGTTTGTATCAGCTCTTTCATTTTGTTTAGGACTGAAAGAAAATGTGGTATCAAGTACAATGCCTTTTTCTTGAAAGAAATCTTAAAATCAAGATTTATATATTCCATTTTATTATCAGTTCTCAATGCTTTTACTTTTGTAGACTATTTATTTTCACACAGAGAATCAATGTTTTTGAAATTAGCTTAGGCATCACAGTTATGTGTTAAAAATGCAACAAAAAGATATTCACTCAAATAATCTTTAAAAATTATAAAATAACTTGAACTCATGTTGCTGACATTGGACCACACAAGTCACTGTGGATTAGCTCACCAGGTTTGCTAACTTTGTTTTCTCTATGACTAAAGGATAGTCTATGTTGTTTGCCATATTGACAACCCTCACAAAGAAATTTATCACATAATAAAAATTTTATTCTCTCAATAATTCCTCTTTTACTTAGAACTATTAGAGCGTTGAGATTGATGTGGCCTGTTCTCTCATGCCATAATTTAATGCTGTCAATGGAGGCTGCATTAGCTTTTTGGGGGCATTATCGTTTTAAGTAGTATCTGAAATAAGTTGTTTGAAGAATGTGAATGAGCTTCTTGTATGCAGAACTCTTCTTCACAACTGTAGATATCAGATTAATTTGTTTTAATTTTATTAACTTAATTCCTTTGCTTGCAACCGCACCTTCGGAGAGAAAATTTTTCTTCAGACCTGGAACATAAAATACATCATAGCTTTCTTGCGAGTCTCTGTGAATCAGCTTTAGCATTTTTATATTTCCTCTCCCTTTAATTGGTAATTCTAAATTGTTGCCAGGACTTTTGATTTCATTCCTTTTCAGTTCTGTGAAACTTTCAAAATAATTATAAGACTAAAGGTCATAGAAGCTGACCCACCGCTGTCCAGAATCCACTGTTTATCATTTCTTAGAACTGTTTCTTCTTCACCAACTTCCCTGCTAAAAGCACTTATGCTTTTTTATGGAACATCATTATGGGTTTCACAAGGCTTGGAACGTCATTCCAGGTCAAAGTGGCTTTTCTTTCAAAATGAGTAGCAAGTTATTTTAGATTTGCTCATGTTTCTGGTTTGGTTTTTAACCATGTTTTCCTTTCTTTGATGACTCGAATATTTATTATTTTTATGTTCAAATTTTGTATGATTGTAAGCACGAAAAGCTGAATTTGTTTGTTCAGATTGCAGCACAGAAGATTTCTTCATAAATCAATCTTGCAGTCTGATTTGATAAGTTTTGTTTGTTATCATCAACAGATAAGCAGGCTTGTCTAAAATTCATATATTTTGATGGTGGTGTTCCTAACATTTTGGTAATTATAGTTGCACCACTAATGCTTTCGCCAGCATCTTTTATGAGTTGTTCAAGATTTACAACTTTAGCTACAACTTTAGCAACGTTACAACATTAGCAACCGAGTTACAGTTTCATTACATTACATTTTAATTTGGTGCAATTTATCAAGCAAAATTTTACTGAAATCGAATTTTAGTTTCAAAGTGGAATCCAGCTTTTCATGAATCTTCTTTGACAAAGAACAACTTTCAAATAGCATAACTTGTGAAAGCTCCATCGCTGATGAAATAGTAAACATCATGACTTCATCATCCCTTTTCCACTTTCCTATTTTTGTTTCATCAGTTTCTGGACTAATTTTCTTTCTCCTTTTTCCTACTAATGATACCTTTCTTAATACTAATGATTAACAATTTTGCATGCCAAATTACATTAATTATTGTATTCCTTAATACCAACATTTCCAGGAAATTATGTAGAATTATGTGCAACATTCAATAATCAATTTAATAGTGTTATTGGAAGCAATAATTTATTAGATAATGAAAAAATTACATTATCTTCGTGTTTCGCTTAAGGAGCAGCAATACTTTTGGAAACAGAAATTAATACATTAATATCTTTATTCTCAGCATTGGAAGAGAGATATGAAAATAAACAAATTATTTTTGATAACCACATTCAATCAATACTTGAAATCGAAAAACTGTTTAATGAATCACCTAACTATCAAAGAAAACTTGTTATTAACATAAATAAAAAAATTGAGAGCTTTAAAAAAATGTAAAGTTTGAACGAAACAATTTCTCTGATGTTGTTTTAAATATTGTTTTGAAAAAATTAGGTCGTGAAACTCCAAAATAATTTGAGCTTTCTTTAGAAAATACTGAAGTACCAGAATTAGACAATTTATTAACTTTCATCAACAAAAAAAAGAAGTCAGGTCTTGTCATTAAAACCTCTTCCAGCGACCGGGCAAACATCTGCACCAAATGAGGTCAAATAAGGAAACACGAGAAAATATCAGAACAAAAAATTTAACAAAACAAGTAAGTAGATTAAAAATGTATTCAAAACATTTGTGTGAGACTTATTTAGAAAGCTCTTGTTCACGAGACAACCTCATGTTGCAGTCAGAGGGCACTAAGGATGATGTTATCATCGATTTACTTCGATATTTGAAAGTCAAATTAGAAAAGGAAAGTTAGAAATTAGAAAAGAAAAAACAAGCATATCAAACAAACAAACCTCTTCTCATCTTTTAAAGCTAATTAATTTTTATGATATGAAATTAAAAGCAAAGTACATAAACAAAAAACATAATTGTTTAATTATTTAAAATAGCTTAACCATTCATAATTGGCAAATTTGTTTTTACTCATAATTATATCAGTTACGATAATTTTTATAGATGCTAAATTTTATTCATCAATACACCTTTTCACGACGCCAACAGAAGTGGCATTTCTGTAGCAAGAAAATGACACTGAATAAAATGTAAATTATTTGTGAAAAATCATGTGCCTTAGATAAAATTTTGAAGTCAATTAATGTAACCTCTAAGAATGACCAACTTCCATCAACAACCATTTTGCTGAACAGAGAGTGGTCACTACCAAAAGGTTTCACTGCATTTTAAATTATAATTTTAGTTTTTTTTAGATCTTAAGAACTTCTTATTGTTCCAAAAATCACTGATGTCATCCCATTTAATTTAATTGATGTTTCCCATATTAATTGGCCACAAAATATTTACTCAGCGGACTAAGTCTGGAAAATTTACTAAGTCTGGAAAAATTGACCTATTGTTGGGGTAGAACTCTTTTTCGAAATTATGAAACCTAATCGAATACATCTTTCCGAACAAAAAATAATATTACAAGATTTGGAATTTGGATATATAATTAGTGGGGCGATTGAAATGCGAATGGCTGAAAATCGAATTTATTGTAGGCTCTTTAAAAAAAAATCAAAAATCTTATTGAAACATTATAAAAAATTTGGAAAATTGAGACAGTTGATGAGGCAATTGGTAGTCAAGGAAACGAAGAAAAATATGCAAGAAACATTTGTCAAAAATCATATAAGAATGGATACAGCGCGTTATAAGGTTAAAATGCCAATGAGAGAGAAAAGTAATTCTCAATTCGCATGGGTGAAAAATTTCCAAGTAACAGCACCTGTCATCATGTCAGACTTCTACGTAGATGATTGTGTGTCTAGATCAGAGACAATGGATACTACAAAAGAATTGCAAGACCAACTTACTCAAATGCTCGCTCGTTGCGGTATGAAGCTACACTAATGGTGCTCTAATAACCCTCAATTTCTGGATCAAAACTCTGTCAATAGTGACTATTTGTCCGATCCTTCAAGAGAAGTAAAAGCCCTTGGACTTGTACGGTAACAGGAAGTTGATTGTTTTGCCTTCAAAATGACAGTCAACAATCCTGTTAAATATACGAAGAGAACTGTTTCATCAGTTATTGCAAACATTTCTCGCCCCCTTGGGCAAGGGTAAAGATTTTCATCCTGGCTTTTTGGCTTCTAAAGATAGATTGGAATGATTCACTTCCAATAAAAAAGCTCGAGAATGGAACCAGTTTCTAGAATCACTTCATAAAGTGAATGACTTAGACATCAACAGATTTGTTCTTATGGAAAAAGTAAAGGTTGTAGAGCTTCATGAATTTGCCGATGCAAGTGAAAAAGCATAGGGAGCAGCCATCCATTTAAGGTGCTTCACATCGAATGGAGAACGTGCTACTAACCTCCTTTGTAGGAAATCCAGAGTTTAACCCTTGAAGACAATTTCAATTCCTAAGCTGGAACTGAATGCTGCTGCGCTGCTGTCCGAACTCATAACAAAGGTTGTCAAATGTTTAAAGCTTGACATATCCACTTGTGGTCAGATTTTAGCATCATTTTGGCTTGGGTACAACAATCACCACATCTAATCAAGGAATTTGTTGCAAATAGAGAGAGAAGAAAATTGAAGAACTGACAAGGCACTTTCAATGGCAACACGTGCCTTGAGAAGATAATCCTGTTGATTAGTCGCGTGGTCTTAAAAAACTTCTATCGAAGGTCCTCTAGTAGAATGGTCCACCCTTTTTGAAAACAAGATTTAAATCAACTTTATACAAAGAGACAATTTGTAATAACTCATTTTAATATTTATCTGAACTAAAACCGCAGCCGGACACTTCTTAATTCGTGATAATCGATAATGATAATTGTATTGCTAAACTAATTGAAAATTTTTCCCTCAAATAAATTAGAAACTTCAGTTTTGTTCACAGGTTCTTACTTAACTGCGGGAATCTAAGAGAGAAAATGATTGGGTCATTGCCCTTGGCTGAAAAGAAAGAAGCAGAAAAGCAGTTCATAGATTTTGTTCAAAGAAGGGAGTTTTGAGAAGAAATTAAATCATTAGGAAAGGGACTTTCTGTGTCGCCAAAAAAGTTAAAGTTAAGTTAAAGTTTTTAAATCCCTTTCTTGACAAAAATATTATTTGCACAGGTAGCCGATTGGAACAAGCCAATTGAAAATTATGATTCAAATAAAATATATAAATCATCATAAAGGAATATCATAACATTTACATTACGGTATTTGTTTTCTTATCCACAAAGTCTTAGCCACTTAGAAATATAATAGAACTTCAAATGCGCTAATAGCTTGTTTAAAATTATTTTTTTCACATAGTGAAAAGAGTTAATACTTCAACTTATAGAGTAGGTCATTCAGTATGTTCTGAGTAATGCCAGCTATGTTTTTTGTAACTAGATTATAGAGAAAAAACGAGTGAGTTCTGTGTTGTACTACTATCAAGCTGCAGTTTGAACACAATAGAGATCTGAGATCTTTGGTGCCTTCCATGTTTATAGAGAAAAATAAATATTTTTTGAGTTTGAGTCCATGTGGTAAGTGAATTTGGGCTATCAAGGTGTGCTGTGAGAGAGAAAGGAAACACAATATTTGTGCAGTATTGCAGAATAAGTGAAGACAGCACAAGTGAATATGCGCAAAACAAAGGTAAGCATTCATTATTTTTGCTTAAGTGTGTGTTTTCCCACACAATAGAGAGGTATTATAAAAAAGAAATAAATACTTGATAGGTGGCAGATTTCAAGTTCATCGTCTTTCCTTTAGGCTTCAGTGAGGATTTCATTCGTACAAATAATGATATCGTTTCATTCTCTTCATCTGCAGTTTTATCTTTGAGAACACTCTTAGAAGAAAGCAGAGACTTTATTTCGTCATGGTCACATGGGTGTGAAAATTCAAATAGGCTGTGGCCCAGCATTTCCACCTAATAAAAATACAAAGAGTTTTAAATTTAAAAATTACATGTGTCTTTAGATAACAATACACAATTAAGAAATAAAAAGGCAACAAGAAAATAGTCACTTAACAAAATTGTGAGGAAAAAAAAAGAAAGTAACCTCCTAACACCAAGTCAGATTTTAAATATAGGAGTCATACTGACAATCTACAAAACAATTCCTTCTAATTTACCCTGAAGCAGGGTGCGTAGCCAGATTTTTCAACAAAAAATAAGCAACCTTTAAGTACTTCTTATCCACTCAAAAAATATTTTAATCATTTTCCAAAAAAAAATCATAATTAGGATCTATGGTGTAATAAAAAATAAAAAAAATTCTATTGTTCAAAGTTCTTAATTTATGAACATAAAATCAACAAAATTCAAAAACATTTTCACCAACTTCACGTAATCATGATAAAATAGCTTGTTTCTAATAAAAATTGCAGAAAAATTTTGAAAAATCATGAATTTTTTGTAATTTAGAACGACAATCGACACAGTAAAGAAAAAACCTTTTTTTAAAAGATAGAAAATAAAGCACTTTTTACAAATCCCGAATAAAAAAAGCACTTTCAAGGGCTTATAAAAATGTAAATCAAAAATAAGCACCTTTAAGCACTTTTTAAAAACACTAAGCACCCAGAGAAGTTAATGTAAATTTTTTTTAAAAAAACATTTAGAAATATTTGTCTAGCATTTGCTTTTTTGATGATAAATTCATTACTGTAATATACAAATGACACATTTTCGTCATGCAGTTGGATATTACAGTAAAATAACTAGATCAGAATTTGAGATACTAATCATGGTGCAATCTAAAAGATTTGAGCAATGGACAATAAATATGTTAATTAATAAGTGCAAAAGATAATATTTTAAGTTACAAAATAGAGCACTAAATTCTTTTCTCCTGAATAATAAACTCAATGAATTTGAATTTTGATTTTTAAGAAAAGGAGGGTAGCTGCAATGCAGTAAAGAATGGTGGCAAGAGCATTCAAAAGTTTAAACCTCTTTAGGTAAATTTTGTATATCATGCCATAACTCAAACTATTTACAAGAATCAAATAATTTTTGCACACAATTACAATATAGTTTATTCAAAAGTACACAAAATAAATTGTTTAGGAGCCTAAAAAATTTTCACAAATTATTTACAATTTAATTTTTTATGATAGAAATAGTAAAAGGACCCAACATTTGAATAAATTCAAATAGTCAATAAGTTTACAAATCGTTGCTCAAGAAATTTATAAGCAAATTTTTTTTTAAAGACTATTGCAAAGTATTACACTATTATATAACTTTTTTTTAAATTCATTTTGAAACTAGCAAAGGTTAACCACTTGTTATGCAATGTTCTAGCGATCAATTTATATAGGTGATCAACTCATAATATATATTAGAACTAATTATAAACTAGTTTTAAACTAGATAAACTAGTTTTTTTCAAAGTTTTTTTTATCATTTCTTTTTTTAGATCGATATACCATGTTACTTACATAATTCTTGCACGTTACAAAATAAAATCATGCATTTTTTATCATACATAAGTTTTCAAAAACAAATATCCCTCACCTTAAAAAATTATATTACATACAGAATGAACTACAATTTGCCCCACAAATTTGATATTAAATAAATTTGTTTAAATAAAAAAAATGTGCATACATTGTTGGTTTTTGCAAGTTATTTTATTTTAAGAAATTATATAATATCAAATAATTTCTTAAAGTATCAATACCATATATACAATAAAAAAACATGAAATTATATTTAATCCAGGCTTCATAGTAGGTCAAAGAAAAAAAAACAGGACAAAATTTTCAAAAAAAATCAAGGTTTTTAACAGAACAGACTACTTTTGCAAACAACAAATTCAAAAAAATATCATTTGCTCAACTTAAATATAACAAAAGCTAATTTTATCTCAAAACAATAATAAATTATTTTTAATTTCAGAATTACTTTTTTTATCTTAACAAAAATGTACAGTTTAATTTTATCAATGCTGAACAACTCATAGCTTCAAATCAATGCATGGAAAATGTTTCTCTCATACCAATATATAAAATTGGTAATTGAGATCCCTTAATAAACTGATTTCGAAGAAGGGTATCAAAACACAATGAATATGCAACTAAACATCTTTGTACAAGCATGCTTGGTGAATGGTCCCTAAATACAGCGTTAAAAATTTCTATAATATGATTAGAATCTACCATTTTTAAAATTACATCAAAGAGATAAATCAATAATTGTGAAACTACATAAGTTCACCCTACAAGATTTGTTATTACTAAAAATAATAAATAAGCAAATGGAGCTGAATTTATAACCATAAAAATTAGTTAAAATTGTTAATTGAGTTCAGTTTTCATTGAATGAAAAAATAAATTTCCAGAAAAGGATTGAACAATGAAACCTGAGGGTAAAACTATATGCCTTAACTGTGTATATAATTAGTTCTTTTGATTCTTCAAATTATTATTTTCTTTTTAAATTTGAATTTGTATTCGTAGAAAATGGGTTGTTTTGAACATAACCAAAAATCAAGACTATCAGCACAAAAAGCTATAAATGAGGATAAATAAGGTCAAAATATTTTTTATCAAGATAATCAGGACAACTGTAAAACCCTGTCTAGTCATGCTTCTTATCATATTTGCTACAAGTCATAAAAGAATTAAGTTAGTAATAACCATATATAGCAGTACTTTTACTTTCGTTACTTGTACCGCCGGAACAAGTAAAAAGTACGTACTTTTACCTAATTCNATTATAATATTCTTCCGAATTCAAAAATAAATTAATGCCCATAACTTTCAAAATTAAAAATAATTAAATAAATAACAAAAATTTTGCAAAAGCATTAAAGAACATAAGAATATTATTCAATAAATTTTAGGTTACTTTGAATTTTCGATTTCCTAGAAATGTACTTTTAAATCGTTACTTTTTTTGTTTGGTACTTGTACTTTTACTTGTACTTTTTACTCGTTACTTTTTAAAAAAAGAAATTTTTACTTTTTACTCGTTACTTTTCTTAAAAATACTTGTACTTTTACTCGTTACTTTTTAAAAGTAACGTTGCCATATATGGTAATAACCATGTTAACTAATTCAGAAACTTTCTTAATTTAAAGAAAACTTTCTGAGAAAGATTTCTTCACCTGTCAACTTCAAATATTTAAATAGCATTCAACAACAGACAATTTTAACTTATTTATGTCCTCAGCATATAAGGCAGTAAAGTTACAAAGGTTTGTGCTTTTGGTATGTAAATATAAGATAAATTTGGTTCTTGCCCTTTTTTAACATATTGGATAAATATAGTTCTGATAATAGAGGTCAATTAAGGCTGGACAACTTCTCAGTTCTTTCTATAGGCAAAATTAATGTGATAAATAATTACATAACTCACACAATATCAGAAATTGCATAATCAGTAAGAATATATAATATTTAACATTAAAGCATTGATTTATACATTTCTAATAATAATTACAATTTTCGTATTAAAAAAGTAGTTTGTTTTTCTTGTGACAAGCTTCTTTACACTTTTATAATAACAAAAAAATATAATAACAATCTCATAATAATCATAGAAACAAAAATATGTAAAAGAACTTTTCTTCTAAACTTTTATATAAAAAAAAAAGTAAAAAAGGGGGGGACAACAGATTTTACAATTTGCTTCTTTTTAGAGAGTCATATGTTGCTAAATATACATTATATACATATATAATATACAGAGAATTCTCGCTACTACGATACCCGATACAACAATTACTCCCTTTATTACGGTACTTCAAAAAAATAAACTACTTTGTTGCTAATATTTTGACAGTTTTTTTCCACTAACTCATAGCTGATTAAGAGATTTTATACTTAATTATTCTGATCAATAAATAAACTAATTGACCACTTGACTAATAAAGAGGAATAAATAAATTCGTAAAGTCAAAAATATATAATTTTTCCTTTTTCTATAGACCAATTGATTTTATTTCACGTAATTTGATTATTGGAAATGAAGGGAAATACTCAATAGAAATTTAATATTTTGTTATTCATGCTTCAGGAAAATATAAGGATGAAGGAAATCAGAAAATAAAGTAAAAAAAAGCAGTTATAGCATTAAAAATACTATGATTTTAATAAAATTATGTTTACTTATGATATTTAATAAAACTGAGTTTTTGAAAGATATATTGTAGTTGAATAATACTCTATCTTCAACCCTGTGGCAGAATATTTTCAGGTTTCTGCGCCAAACTTCCCTAGCATTAATATTCCTCTTTAAGATACTTTTTATTATAACTATTACTAATTTAGAGTAACAGAAACGCTGTGTTTACAGAGGAAAGTATAGAATAAAAATGTATGAAAAATTTTAACTGTAAAAGTTATATTTTTTTAATTTTAATATTATAGATGCTTTCTCGCATTTTCTAGGCAGAAAAATTCACTAATTATTTACTCTTTTAAATTTTGTAAATCATTAAAAAAATTAAAATTCGTAAATAAATTAAACAATGATAAATTATAATTCGCACATAAATTAAAAAACATAAAATCCATGCAGTAACTCCAAAAATATGACGAAATCCAATCACGCGAATTCAATGGACGAAATCATGGCAATAGGACTCTTTAAAAAAAGAGATACTCAAATAAGTGTGTGGAAAACATGGTGCTCTTTAAAGAAAAAGAATTGAAAAATAAAACTCATTTCTAGAGTGAACTATCTTTTAAACTTTCGTGATTTCTGAGTTTTTTATTTTATATTATTAGTTTGAAATACTAGCTGAAGCCAGTCATTACCCACTTTTTTTTAAATCCCAAATGAGAATAGAAAAATCACAATTATCTCTTTCCTCTCTAATGAGCAAGAAAGACATCTTTAAAAAAAATTCTGCAGAAAAAAAAAACGTTTTTTGAAAAATTATGCAGTAAGGAAAACCAAAAAATTTTCCTTCCTAAATGAAAAACCTTTCTGTAAAAACTCTGTAACGCTTCTAGGACAATGTTGCCAAGTAGCCATATTTCTGCCATGGGGATCTTCATAAGTTAGTCAAGTACAAAAAAATTTCAAGAAAACTGAAATCAAAAATTTAACCTAAATTTTAAGAAGGCAAAGGCCTCTTAAAAATGATAGGTAGATAAAAAAAAAAACCAATCTTTTGGAAAAAATAAAATATTAATGCCATTTATATATTCCATCAGAAATTCAATTAATATCTTTACAGATTAAAATATTTTAAATATAATTATTTCAAAAGAAATGTTAAAAGCTGAAGGGGACTTACCTGAGTGATTCCAATAAATTCTTCAACATTTTCAGATAAGTAAACTATGTCTCCATCTTCGGAGAGAATCAACAAGAAACCATTCAAAACGGTGGCATAGAGAGGATCTTTTGAACATTTTGACTTCCCGTGTGCTATGTAAGAGTATATGAATTAATATTCAATGTTTTTAACACTTCTTTAAATTCATTTAAGAGGACACGATACAGTGGAAGAAAATTTTCCTTCATTACTAATTTAAAATTTGTAGTAGCATAGAAAAAGTGAGTTCAGACAAACCTTGAATAAGCCATGAAGTTTCAAATACTGAAAAGAAAATTTTAATATATACAAATGAAAATAAATTATGCACTGAGAACTTAGGATTACGCAGTGGTGAAATTCTCTTCCAATGATTTGTTTGCATTATAATAATTTGAAGTATTCTTTTCAGCAACAGAAACTTAATGACTTACTCTAGGTTTGTCTGAAATTATTTCTTTTTCGTTTAAATTAATAATAAAGGATAAATAGAATTTGCGACGGAAATTTTCGTCGCAAATTCTATTTATCCTTCAAAGATACCAATTCAAAGATAGTTGAACGTGCATACCAACATTTGATTAAAAAAATAAATAAACATATATTTTGAATTAGCTGACTTTTAGTTTGAAGTAAATTCATTAAAAGTAAAGATATTCAAAATTTCTGTTAAAAAATTTAAAAAAGCAATATTAACTCGAATACTTTAAATAAAAATCAGGCACTTTTAGTTCTTTAAATCCATTTTCCTGTTGTAGAAGAATATTTTTCCATTGTTTATCCATTCCATTGTTTATCCATATTGATTTAATGTCAGGATAAAATTAAATGTTCATATAATTAACTCCTCATTGATTTAATGTTCTTTTTGTTGTGGTAAATTTTTACAGATTTTACTTTTTAGATATTTTTTCTTTTTTTAAATATTTTATTTTATTTAGTTATTTATTAGAATTTTTAATAAGACTTTTAATTTTAAGAACATTTTGATTGTGAATTAATTTTTTCTTTACAAATTAGCATAAATATTGAATTGAATCTTGTCATTTAAAAATCCTTCAACAACTAGTGTTGATATAGAACATGATTTTTAAAGAATAAATGAAGAATTTGTATATATAAAGAATTTGCTCTTCAGCATTAGAGGCAATCTTTCACTTTGAAGAATTTTTAACAAAGATAATACTGATGTTCATGAAGATTGTAACTAAAGATTGATAAATTCCTATCTTCATCAAGTATTTATTTATATTTAATTTTATCCTAATTTTATTACACATTTATTTCAATTATTATTTTGTTTTTTACTAAATTTATAAATACAAGTTATGATTTATATATTTTATTTTTAAAAAGAGCAAATTTAAATATGAGGTAAATTAAATGTTTAGGAAATTATTTTTCATTTTAAGGCTATTTCTGATGATTTTAAAGACATTTTTTTTTTTTTTTTTACAATTTTTTAAGTGAGTTTTTTAAGAACTTTCAGTTACCAACACCCTGACACTGAAGATCAGCATTTATGAATCATATGATGAATTACGGCGAATAGTAAATTACTAAATGATGATTAACTAAGTGGATAAATATGTTCATATGAAATATGTTTACATTATTCTGACATTCATAATTTTTACAGTAAAAGATATTACAATAAATAATTTTAGGTACCATAGACTGCAGTTATTTTGGATGGGTTATTTATGTAATATATATATATTTTAAAAATTTAATATAATATTTATAATAGTATTATGCATTTTATTTTTATAAAAACATAGTTTGTTTTTATAACACTCCTATGGCAGAATTTTTGCGAACTATCTGCGACAAAACTCTCTAGCATGCATTGATATCTTTCTGAAAGATACTTTTAATAATAACAAACATGCATTTTACTAATTTAAAATAACAAAAGTGCTGTGTTAACAAAAAAAAACAACAAAAAAACTAGTTTAATTTTTTTCTAATTGAAAAATTTTCTTCTAATTGAACAATAATCTTCTCATTTTTCTCTAATTGAACAATCTAATTGAATATTTTTTAATTTAATTAGATTGTATAATGGGTGATGTTCTCGCATTTTGTAAATAATCATTACAATAAAAAATTAATTAAAAATTATGAAATCCGCGTTGCCGAAAAAAGATCGACGACGAAATGACGGAATCTCCTCAAAAAAGGGGTTACTCAAATGCGTGTTTCGTTTCAAGATTAGGTTGTTGTAATAAATAATAAGGTATAAAAAATATCGGATTTAAAAACTATGGATAAATCAATAGCAATAACTGCCAAAAATTCGACAGAATCATTGCCTTAAAAAGTAAATACTTAAATGCAAGATTCGAATTTTTCATGTTGTTTGAAATATATCGGGATATTCCAAGTGAAAATCAATAACTACCGAAAATTCTATCGAAAAATTACATCGATTTACGATACTATCGGCGTAAATTGAGCGTGTCAAANTACTATATACATATACAATATATACATATTACATTATATACATATACACATAGAATACATATTATATATAATATAGAATATACATATATAGAGTATACATATATAATACAGAAAGTCCCCTGTGTGTTTTTCTATATTTAATTATAAGCTTGAATTAGATTTTTTTATTAATTTTAAGATGTAGAAAATCATTGGTTCACAAAGAGCCATTAATATTTAAGATTTCAATTAAAAGATCATTTTCTGACAGTAATGGTTAATAATTCTTAGAAATATCTTACGAAAATCCCGAAAAATCTAAATGATGATTATGTGAGAAAAATTATGAGAAATGAACTTGAAAAAAAAAGTTCTTCTCTCAAAGAGGATGCACTCTTATCAGAACTCCAACATGCCGATCTCTATGGTGAATAGTTATCAAATATTTGTGGGGGGTGTTTCGCTTTGATTTATTGAACTAAAATCTGCACAATGGTAAATCCATTATAGTACACTGTTATTAAAGATGTAGCTCCCACCAATTTTATTAAATCAGGAAATTTTTGAATATAAATAATTACTTTCTTCTTAGGTTTACATAATGGTGTTTAAATCTATTATTATTATTAAAAAAAATTACAATTTCATTAAAAGACATTGAAGCTATGGCTAAGTCAATAAAAACAACTCCCGTAACTAAATTTAAATTGTAGGATAAAATCGTTTTTTCCACTGAAAAAGCACGTTTAAATAGAATTAAAAAATTTAAATTTTCCAGAATTTAGAAATTCCTAGTATTAAATTCAATGAAAAGGTTAAAAAAAAGTAATTTAAAATTTTAAATTATCTAAATTAATTAAAGTTTTTGGTTTATTAAATATTTCAGGTGATGGTTAGATTGAAGACCTCGTGAAAAATATCGGCACTTGTTTCAACGAATTTTGGCATTCTTTGTAATTCATCTATTAAAGATGATAGTATCGGAAAATGAAAATTTTAATGACCTAAACACTGAAAAGAAAACAAGAGCAATTAATAGAAATTCACAAACATATAATATTACTGTCAAGACAATAGATTCTCAATTAAAAAATTTTAATGTAAAAAAACAAAATAAAACTGAGCCTAGATTACTGCTTAATTTTTCAGATATTGAAGCTGTCCCTCTTCTTTTTAAAGGGGGAAAACCTTAAAAGTATAACTAATAAAATTGACAATGGAAAAATGCATTTAACATTTGAAAATGTATCTGAAATGTTTAATTTATCCTTGATACAAAAACTTTTATATACTAAAATGGGTTTAAGGGGAAACACTTTATTACTTCGTTGTACCCAGCTTCACATTGATTCATAGTCCAAATTAAAATATGTATTTAATCAATGAGTACAACACTGCTGAAGTAGTACAAAGTATAATACCACTGAGTACAAAAGAACAATAGTGCTGATATTCATGAGATGTAGCAGAGTATGTATGAATCCGGGCAAAAGTATTTCATAAAAATGAAAAAAATTTTGCATTTTAGTAATGTAGATGAGCAAGCATTTTTAAGTATCATATTGCTGGCATTCAAGATACATTACTTAAGAGAATGATTTTATATGGCTCGTTAAATGGCTTTTTAAAATATTTTAATTTGGCAGGCAGTTTAATACGAAAAAATTTCGTAGAAAGATGTAATCTTCAAAGAATAAAATATACATGAGGATGTATTTCATTAACTAAAAAATAAACTATTTTATTGCTAATATTTTGACAGTTTCTTTTTCCACTAACTCATCGCTGATGAAGAGATTTTATACTTAATTATTCTGATCAATAAATAATTAATGAACTACTTGATAAGTAACTAATGAAGAGAAATAAATAAATTCGTAAAGTCAAAAAATTATCATTTTTCTATAGAACAATTCCATTTCCTGTGATTTGATAATCGGAAATGAGGCGAAAAACTCAATAGAAATTGAATATTTTGTTATTCATGCTTCAGGAAAATATAAGTTTTGATAAAGAAAATCAGAAAATAAAATTTAAAAAAATCAGTTATAGAATTAAAAATATTATGATTTTATTAAAATTATGTTAAATTGTGGAATTTAATAAAAAAGGGTTTTTGAAAGATATAGTGTTGTTGAACAATACTTTGTCTTCAAAAGTTAGTCAAGTACAGAAAAATTTCAAGAAAACTGAAATCAAAAATTTAACCTAAAATTTAAGAAGGCAGAGGCCTCTTAAAAAAAAACAATCTTAAATCAGTAGATAAAAAATCCTATCTTTTGGAAAAATAAAATATTTATGACATCTATATATTGCATCAGAAATTCAATCAATATCTTTACCGATTGAAATATTTTAAATATGATGATATTTTTTTAAAAAAAGAAGCTGAGGGAGGATAAAGCTTACCTGAGTGATTCCAATAAATTCTTCAACATTTTCAGATAAGTAAACTATGTCTCCATCTTCAGAGAGAATCAACAAGAAACCATTCAAAACGGTGGCATAGAGAGGATCTTTTGAACATTTTGACTTCCCGTGCGCTACGTAAGAGTATATGAATTAACATTCAATGTTTTGAACACTTCTTTAAATTCCTTTAAGAGAACGCCATACGACGATCGGAAGAAATTCATTTAAGAGAACCCCATAAGACGATCGGAAGAAAATTTTCCTAGCGAAGTTTATTTTTCTTTCATTACTAATTTAAAATTTAAAGTGAAGAAAATGTGAGAAAAAGTGTGAAATTGTTTAAACTTACTTTTTCTTTCTTTAAAATTAGTAATGAAGGACAAAGAGAATTTGTGATTTGAAATTTTCTTCCGCGGTATGCCGTTCTCTTAAGATCTTAACACACATAACAGCAAGGGTCATTCATCCAGTCATGGCATCTCAGATTTTGATGAAAATTTGTACACTTATAGAATTTTTTATACTGACTTCAAAAATATCAATAATATTGGAATCAGTAAATGGGTTTAAAAGTTATCGAGTATTTTTACTTTTTGCCGAAACAACATGTTTGCTGCAATTTTGATTCTCACATCAGAGGCTATTAGAGGGTGCATAGCCAGATTTTTCAACAAAAAATAAGCACCTTTTAAGTACGTTTTAAGCACTCAAAAAATATTTTTAATAACTTTCCAAAAAAATTCCTAATTAGAATCAAATTTTGCACTGATAAAAATTATAACTGTGCAATTATAAAAATTATTTTTTTCAATTGTTTAAAGTTCTTAATTTATAAACATAAAATCAATAAAATTTTAAAAAAATTTCAAATACTTATCATGATAATTATAATAAACTATGATAAATAATTTCCGATAAATATTGCAGAGAAAATTGTGATATTTATAAATTTTTTGTAATTTAGAATGACAATCGACAAAAAAAAATCTCTCCTTAACAGGTAGAAATTAAGCACTTTTTATAAACCCCGAATAAAAAAGGCACCTTTAAGGGCTTTTAACAAATGTAAATCAAAAATAAGCACCTTTAAGCACTTTTCTCATCTTAAACTCAGTAACTCATCTTAAATTTGTCCTAGAACAACAATTTGTTTGCTTGTTTTTTTTAATGAATGAATGAAACATTTGGTAATAGCAGATTTCATTCTAAGTAGCAACAACAAAATGATTATTATTTTTCAAAATAAACATATATTTTGAATGAGTTGACTTTTAGTTTGAAGTAAATTCATTAAAAACAAAGAAATTCAAAATTTCTGTTAAAAAATTTTAAAAATCAATATTAACTCAGAAATTTAAAAAAAAAAATCAGGCACTTTTAGTTCTTTAAATCTATTTTCCTGTTGTAGAAGAACATTTTTTTCATTGTTTATCCACTGAAATGTTGGGATCATCATTGAGTTAATGTTCTTCCTGTTGCGGTAAATCTTTCTTAGATTTTACTTTTAAGATTTTTTAATATTTTATTTTATTTAGTTATTTATTAAAATTTTGAATGATACTATTCATTTTAAGAACATTTTGATTATGAATTAAATTTGTCTTTATAATTTAGTATAAATATTGAATTGAATTTTGTCATTTAAATATCCTTCAACAACTAGTGTTGATATAGAACATAATTTTTAAAGAATAAATGAAGAATTTGCATACAGAAAGATTTTGTTTTTCAGCATTAGTGGCAATCTTTCACTTTGAAGAATTTTTAAGAAAGATAATACTGATGTTCATGGAGATTGTACTAAAGATCGACAAATTCCTATCTTTATTTATATTTAATTTTATCCTAATTTTATTACACATTTATTTCAATTATTATTTTGATTTTTACTAAATTTATAAATACAAGTTATGATTTATACATTTTATTTAGAAAAAAGCAAATTTAAAACATGCTTTAAAATAAATCTTTAGGAAATTCATGAAATCTGTTGAAAAAATAGATCGACGGCGAAATGACGGAATCTCCTAAAAAAAAGGGTTTACTCAAACGCGTGTTTCGTTTCAAGATTAGGTTGTTGTAATAAATAATAAGGTATAAAAAATATCGGATTTAAAAACTATGGATAAATCTATAGCAATAACTGCCAAAAATTCGACAGAATCATTGCCTTAAAAAGTAAATACTTAAATGCAAGATTCGAATTTTTCATGTTGTTTGAAATATATCGGGATATTCCAAGTGAAAATCAATAACTACCGAAAATTCTATCGAAAAATTACATCGATTTACGATACTATCGGCGTAAATTGAGCGCGTCAAAGTGATCATCTAAATACATGATTCAAATATTACGTGTAAATTTCTGATTTTTTTGCTTCACAAAAGAAAAATCTTTCTGCAAGAACTCGGTAACGTTCTGCAACAATGACGCCATGTCGCTGCTATTCTGCTACGGGGTATAACACCATTAAAAAGTAAATTTGGTAGAAGAATGCTATCAATACAACCAAACTGAAATATTTCTGACTTGTGAAATATTTGTGCAAGAAAACTGTCTCATTGAAGTTAAGATCGCTAACTTGGGGAATGTAACTCACGGATTAAAATCTTTAACAATTCTTTCACTTTAAAGAAGCCAACAGTCAGTCTCATAATGGATGCCTTATCCAATCCAGCGATAATACTCTGCTCCAGAGGAAGGTGGCTGGCCATATCATTGAAGATCTCAGACTCTTTACTGCGCCTACAGCGAGCAGCATCTCGAGATTTTTCCTTTCGCTTCTCTGAATTTCTATATAAGAACAAACATCAACGTTTAATTGACAATGTAATTACAGGATTAAAAGACATATAAATATAATCCAAATGAATTAATACTTGTTTTTTTAAGATTATTTATTAAAATAATTTAAAAATACAATTGCAACATTTCAATGGATGGTGAAGTTTTATTTTATTCTATGTAATAGAAATTTTTTTCTATAGCATATACGCTTTTCTAACAAACGTAAAAAAAAATTTTTAAAAATTGTTAAAAGAACTAATAACGTTCCGGAGGGTGATAATTTTTTCCAAAAATTTTTTTTTATTTTATTTTAGTAAATATATTTCAATATCACATTTATAAAAAGTAAATGTTAATTTTTCAATAAGAGCCAAACTTTATTATAGACGTTAAGGCATTTATTTTTTTACGAATATTTCAAAATGCATCATTGTTACTTTACAACTTTTGGTGTACATATAACGTATACAAAATTCTGCTTCAAAAATCTTGACACATTGCATACTACTGGTTTAAAGAATTTTATAAAACTTGTTACAGGTTAATTTTTTATTTATTATTATTTTTTCTTTTCATTTTTACGTGATTGTATGCAGAAAATTTCTGTTAAAACTTTTACAGAATTTTTTTTAACCATCGAACTTATTTTAACCATTTGTAACACATTATTCATATACATCGTATGTAAATACAAAAATTTGTAAAACAGCATATAAATAATTGGAAATGCGTTAAGTAACTGGTGAAAAGGCGATTGCAAAAGGACATGAATTTACAACGGAATCGTCGTGGATAGAGCGCATCAAAAAGTGATTACTCAAATGTGAAACTGAATTGCCCTAATAACTTCTGATTGATATAATGTAAAAATTACTAAAAAAGCTATATAATATATAGTCGGACTTATATTTAGCGAAGTTCCATTTTGCGAATTTTTATCTTTTTCGAGGAACTAAAAACATTTTGGAAATTTCTTCGTAAAATAACATCCGAAATAGCGAAGGGAATTTTCTATTTAACGAACTTTTCTTTGAGATCCACTTTCCCTAAATATTTTAGAATACTTCAAACTTGTTAATGCATTTCACGGGAAAAAATGACCTTGATTTGATTTTTGCAGATACTTAACTTTTAGAGAAAGCAGTTAAAATCCATGGAACTATAATGTTACAGACCGTACTATTCGTAACAGTTTTGCTAAAGCTGGATTCTTAGTCAGGGCGAAAGACGAGAGGATGATATTCCTTTAAAAGAATGTGGGTACAGCTCAGAGAGAACAGGGTACGTAGCCAAATTATTCAACAAAAAATAAGCACTTTTCAAGCACTCAAAAAATATTTTAAGCACTTTAAAAAATATCATAATTAGGCAGGGTTGGAAAGTTTTTTGACAATCGACGGTTTTATCTTGCATTAATTATTTTTTAATAAAAAAAATCTTTTGGCATTGTTTTTGACAATTGTCAACATTCATGAAATTTTGAATCATGTGAAACGAATGGCGTTTTCGTACGCTACGTACTGACAATGCGCCGAAATAGATTGGGGTTGAATTAATTGTGCAAACGTTGAATAGAACAATGTGAACTGTGTCTTTTTGCATAATTCGAAGCGAAAATCAACAGGAAAAATCTCATTTTGAAAAAGGGAAAATTAAGTATACTTTTTAAAAACACCCAATGAAAAAAGCACCTTTAAGGGCTTTTAAGAAACGAAAATCGAAAATTAGCACCTTTAAGCACTTTTTAAAAGCGCTACGCACCCTGGAGAAGCACGTAAGTCACGATGATGCACTGATTAATGATTTTCTTTTCATTGATCCCGAAACTGCAACCACAGAAATATTAACTGAATCGGATATTTTCTACAGTGTGAAAAATAAAAACAATACTGCAATACATTGTGAAGAAAACGAAGACAGAATTGATGAAAAAATCACCAAACCATATGATGAAATGTTAAAATCATTTGAAACAAATTCGATAGTCGATAATAATTTACAAGATAAAGGTGTGCATCAATTGCTATTTTAATTATGTCTTATGAATTTAAAACCGGTTTTTGTGTTGTTTAAGTATTTCAAACAGTGAATTTCTATTTAACGAACTTTATATCGGGATTTAGTTAATAGAGATCCGACTGTATGAATGTGTATATATATATACAGTGGCGTACGCAAGGGAGGGGTTTAGGGGTTTGAACACCCCCCTTGAGCTCAGACAAAATGGCAAAAATAAAAATTTTAGTAGAAATTTTGCGGTATTATTTTTTAAGACTATATATTTTTATTTGCCTTATGCNTACTGCAATTTTAAGTAGATCTATAAACACAAATCATGCTATTAAGAAACTGCAAAATAATATTACTGCTATAGAAACCTGGTGCAGCAGGTGGAAAGTGAAAATAAACAGTTCAAAATTTAATCTTCTAGTTATCAGAAAGTTACATAAAAGAAAAATTATCCAACATGAGAAAATTATTCTATTTAACGAAGAAATCCCAAAGGTTTCGAAAGCTTAATTTATAGGAATTACCATAAACTGTTCCCTAAATTGGAAACTACACATATCAGACATTCTCAAAAAAGCCGAAGCTGCATTTCAAGCCCTGCTGAACACTGAAAGTAAAATGGCACTTAACACAAAAAGACTTATTTACCTCATGTGTATAAGACGAGGGAGTGCTTAGGGAGTCTTCCCCACTTGTAAAATATTTGTAAATATTTTTATTTTTAATTCTTATTCTAATTAATTTTTTATGTATCCCAATGCGATTTAACATGTATATACTTATTCCATATTTTATTTTAATTGCAAAATGTTTCCAATTGAGACTTAACTTAGTTAACCCCCGCACCACTCTTCGCATCCTCCTTTTAAATGTAACTTAGATGAAGGAGCAGATATCCCCCTAGGATAGGCACTCCGATAAAACTGTATCAGTCATATAATCATTATTGATGGTTATGTTTCTTTAAGCTTTACCCTACTGAAATTTGAATGTATTATGGAATCGTGCAACTACTTTTTTTTTTTTTTAAAAAAAAGGAACTGTCCTTTTAATAGGAAGTTAGTTGCAAATGGGTTGAAAGCAGCTTTCAAATAAGTATTAAATATCACCTTACGCCTAAAATAATTTATTTTTAAAGTGATATTTCAGTTGAATTTCTGAATGAAAATTTTAAAAAAATTAATTACTGCGATTGATTTTGATACATCTAAATAAATGAAATTACTAAATGAAAATTTAAAACTGAATAAATTAAATTACAAATAAAACTAGGTAATAAAAAAACTAATTAAGAATATAAACTAATAAAAATAAATAATGAATTCGATAATGTTTCAGCTACATAAAGTTTTTTTTCAAAAAAAAAAAAAAAAAAAAAAATTTCAAGATGTTTTTAAATAGTAAATAGATACAGCACTGTAAAATTATAATTAAAAAAATTTAATTTTTAAAAACAAACAGCAATTGCTGCTTCTAAATTGGAGATGCAACATACAAATATTTGGTATTTAGTCTATACTGCTGAACACAGGATAATCAATTCGGACGAATTATGGAAGAATCGTCTGCCGAAGACAAAACTTAATTCGTTTACACCCATCTTTCTTGTTTTCTGCCCTGGGAAGGGTTTATTCGATTAACAAAACAATAACGAAGATAAACAAATTTGTGCAGGGTCCGATTAAAAGATAAATAATTTTGTGAAGGGTCCGTTTTTTAAATAAAATATTTTGTGATGGGACTGTTTTTATGAAAAGATATTTTGTGAAGGGTCCGTTAAAGGACCCAAATTTCTTCTAAACAGAAACCTGTGTAAGCAAACAGAGAAAGTTATGCCTGTATGCACTGAAAAAAGACAACACACCGCTGCATAAAATTTTCGTCGCAAATTTCCTTTCATTATTAATTTAAAATTTGAAAGAAATACAACATAATTTCAGACTAACCTAGAGTAAGTCATAAAGTTTCAATAGCTGAAAAGAATACTTCAATGTATTAAAATGCAAACATGTTATTAGAAGAAAACTTCTCCGTTGCGTAATCCTTAGATATCTATTAATTAATTTTCATTTGTATAATTTTTCTTTTCAGCATTTGAAAGTTCGTGGCTGTTTGTCTGAACTCACTTTTTCTAACACTTTAAATTAGTAATGAAGGAAAAAGAGAATTTGCGAGGAAAGTTTTCTTAAGACCGTCTTATGACGTACTCTTAAATGAATTTAAAGAAGTGCTTAAAACATTAAATGTTAATTCATACAGTAATTTTAAATTAGTAATGAAGGAGTCTTTCGCAGTGATGGCGTCCTCCTCAGAGAAGATAGTACTTGATTGTTCTCAAAAACAAATGGATCCTATCAGGTTATCCATACTATCAGAATGTGGGGCACTCTTAAGATAAAAGCAAATGAAGCAATTTATTTTCGAATTCACCATCAGATACTGAAGTCTCCACACAATTTTTCACAACAAAGTAGTCCCAATTTCAAGCGTTCGTTGTACGACTGAGACTCTTAATTCCCCCCGCATACATTTTATATACAGTCAAACCCCGCTATAGGGGATCTTTAAGGGACCGAAATTTGGGTTCACAATAACCGGGAGTTCACTATATCCGTAATGCAAACAATTTTAACTATTTTTCTCCGAATCCCTCCCTTTTATGACACATTATTTAAATAAATGACCCATAAAAAGAAATACTAAAAAGATTAAGCAATATGTAGTAACAAAAATGCGTTAACTTTTATTTTTTATGACTCCTCGTCTTGCGTACAAAAAATTTAGGGATGGGGGAAATTGAGATAGAAGAAGCAAAGAAGAAAAAATGCTTATGCCTACATTACACTCAATAGATGGTTTTAAAAATCAGGTAGCGAATTCGAATGCATGTAAAGGCATCTTTAAAAATGATTTAAAATACTTAACAAGTTGGCCAAATTACAAAATATGAAAATAGAAGCGTAAAAAAAATGAGTTTGAGGAGATCTTTTTACAGC